AGTTTTCTACCTTACTCATTTGTTACTATTCTGAATTTGGTTAATATCCATAAATGAGGAATAACTATTGGTAGATTTATTCCAGGTCCTCTTTGGGGGTCCTTGTGTTTTCTCTTAGCCTAAGCAAGCTCCTTGGCTTGTTGAGAACTGACATTCCAGGCAATTGTCGCTTGTTGTAGGCCTCTCCTGGGAAAAGTGGACTCGGGAAATTCCTAAACATAAGCAAAGTAAAAACATCAGACATACTGCTTGCCAATAATGATTCCAATAAATTAGCAATTTTATCTTAAACCAACAATAGTTACGGTTGATACTATGTACAAGTATCCATTTGCATGTGTTTCCTGTTAATGGGCACAGAGCCAGGTTCACCAACTCAAATTACATACAACTGCAGAATATAAAATGAAAGACCCAGGTGGGCTGTGGTATGCAAGTGAGTAGATGTCACAGTGAGCAAGGTCCTATTAAGGGAAAGGAGGATAAGAGGCAACATTTGTGAATGTCTTTAAAATATATACTATTTAATCACCACAATAGGCCTATAGCTAGGCATTTTATATAGCTTTGTGAATAAAAGGCTCTACCCCTAACTGGTTCCATTGGCTGCCATGGTGGTGATGGTGTTGATGAAGAAAAAAACCTAGACTGGAGATTAATAAAATCTTCCCTAGGAAGGACGTGGTGTGGGTCTTACCCCAGTCTGCCTAATTCATTCACGCCAAGCTGCCTTCCAGCTAGTAACATAATATGGCTAAGAGAAGTGAGCTGACATTTACCGAGTGTAGGCTAGAAGTAGCTTGTGGTCATTTTAAGTAATTTGTATTTTACCATATGAATCAGCTTAGCAACATTCTTCTGCTGGGGTGCACCTGAGCAATGTGATGCTTCGGTAGGGACTCACTAAGACAGTGACCAATGAATAGCAAATACTTACTCCATGAAGATTTAAGATAAAATATCCAGAAAACAGCCTCCACCGCACCGCATTGAGTACACACACACCTCAAGGTATCAGCGTAGCCGATGACTTCTTGGGTCCTGAGTAAAAATTAAGGCCTCTGATGAAGTGAGATGAGAAATTGCTGAGTTGGAGTTCAGGAGACAGGGGTGCTTTGCTTTAATAAGGCGAGGCGCATCTTGGGAACTGTTGCAGGGGGTTTCAGTGCTAGCACCGGGTGGCGCTCCAGTAAATCCCAGGGAGAGTTTAGAACAGAAACTGCCTGTGTGAGAAGTTCCAACTTTGAAACGTCTTACTCTTGTGTCCAGGGAAAAGCCTGCTGGAGGTGATGCTTCTATAAAGCGAAGGAGAAGAGACGGCGTGAGAATGTCAGCCCTCAAGTGGCAGCCGTTTGTGTACGGGGGGCTGGCCTCCATCACGGCCGAGTGCGGTAAGGAGCGGGCCGCTGGAGTCAAGGAGCGGGGCGCTGGAGTCGCTTTGCCCGCTGCATACAGTGGTTTTGGAAACTTAGGGTTGTGATTAGGTGGTGTTTGATGTGAATGTAGTTCAAGTGCACGACGTGAGATCGTGAAACATTCATCTCAGAATCCAAAAATTTCTTCTTTTGGTAATGTTTTTAAGACAAAATGGTCATTTTGGCTACTTATTAGCAGTTTAGGGTTCAAAGTTTAGTGGGGAGAAAGTTGAGCCTGTTGACCAAACAGAAGTTTTATGAATCATGATTGGATTGCAGCTGTGCCTATTTTCCTTGTCCTTTCCCCCGTTTCGCCACTGTTAACCCATTTGGCTATAAAGAGGTTTGAGAAGTGCCAGGGTCTTCCCTGATCCGGATTAGATGGACTGTAATTATTCGGTCACTTCCCAATTCCACACATTATCCACATCCCATTTGTGCCTTCTGCATCAGTTGGGTTCCGCATCAGATCCTGTTTGTTCTGTGTTGTTTGTTCTCTGGAATCATTCATTCAACAAATACTGGTTGAGCAGCTGCTGAGCACCCTGCACTGGGCTGGACATTTCATCGTGTCCAGGGTTCAGTTGCTGCTGTCCAGGACAGACACTGCCCCTGAGGAGCCGGGGAGGGCTGGGCCAAGGGATGGGGCACAGTCACCACCCGCCTGCAGGCTCAGGTTCTCTTTTCGGGTGGGCTTTCCCGTTGTCACCGTGAGTCAAGGTTACTGTCTAAAGATGGGTTTTATATATTTGGGTGGACAATTAGATACTATATCAAACATATTTATCTGCTTTATTAGATTCAATTTCAGGCTATAAAATTCTCCTTCCTAAGTGTCCCCACTTAGGGGAACTCCTTTGGAAATGAACTTTTTTACCTCTCTTCATTCACATCAAATCCAATTTTGGCCTTCACGTATATACACAACAGTTAACTTACGTTTGTAAATGGCTTCCCTTTTTGTGTAAATCATTCCTTGTACCTGCTTTGTCCAGCATTGCAATCTACTCGAATCCTATGTAGAATAAGATGAGGTATTAATAAAAATGTAAAGAAAAGAAAATATATTTATGCATTTTTCGGGGGGGTTGTTAATCTTTTACTTCCTCAATTTTTTTTAAATAGAAAAGATCTCAAAATGTCTGCCATTTCTTAATCTGTTTCTTCATTTACCTTATATTTACGTAATATAATACTCTGTATCCTTTATTTAGTGGAATTTCTTTTTATTACATGAAATATTTCTTTCTTTAAAATTTTAAGGTACATTTCCAATTGATTTAACCAAGACCCGGCTCCAGATTCAAGGCCAGACGAACGATGCCAACTTTAAAGAAATTAGGTATCGAGGAATGTTGCACGCACTCGTGAGGATAGGCAGAGAAGAAGGGCTGAAAGCGCTGTATTCAGGGTGAGTGGCCCATTGTGCATTTCTGTGTCACTATTCAACCTTTCAAATGGATGGACTTCAAGCTAAGACTTCACAGAGCAAAAAGAAAAGTTTGAGATATATTCGAAAAGAGTAGTTAGCATGGTAGATTTTCCACTTTAAATTTCAACTTTATTTTTTGGATGTATATTTTCTGTAGCAAATGTTTTGGTGAAACTACGTTTTTATCATATCCAAGTCCAGACCACAGTACAAAAGTTACGTTTGTTTAAAAACATCCTGTTATTCCCTTTTATAACTCTTTGAAAATAGCCCTTTCCCTTAGCTATTATTCTGAATTATCAAGGTTTTTGCTGTAATGACAATGCTATAGTGTGGGTAAGAGCTGTAGTGAACTACTTTTCGCTCATTCAGCATTTAACCAACAGTGTTCTGTGGGTGCTGGATGGGAAAGTGAGTAAGGTGAGGCCCTGCCTGTGTCTGCTGGAGTCCCTGCAGGAAACAGAATTGACTCGGGTGGTTTAAGTGAAGAGACATCAGCAAAGGGACTGTTTAACGGTTAAGGGAGCAGATGAAGGGTAGGTACTGAGAAACGTAGAAACTCCAAGCAAAGTGAGAAATTGTTCCCAACCCTAGGACCAAAGGGGCCAGGGCAGGGCTGGTGTTCCCAGAGCCCACTGCTAGGGCCGGGGCCTTGAGGGAGAGGACAGTGGTTGTCGAGGGATGCTTTGGTAGTGCCCAGGGAGGGGAAGAAATCCTCTGTTCTTTTTCCTCCCTCCCTCTCCTCTCCTATGGCTGAACCCACCTGGAAGCCAGCTGACAAGGGAGCCCAGGTGATGCAAGACGTAGGTGGCAGCGACTTGGGACACAGAGAAGGGCAAGAATGATCTGGACAAGTGGGATCAGTAGTGGCACACTGTCCTGAAGGGGCTGTTGTTGGGGGCGCTGCAGACATGTAAGCAGGATCACGGTGGAGTCTGATAAGTCTAGAGCGTGGTAGAGGGAGGGTGTCAGTCTCAGACGGGGACAGCCACTGGATCAGATCTTGAAGGAGCAGGCGGGGTTAGCCAGGTGAAGCTGAGGGAGAATTGTATTCATCCAGAGCCAGTGGTATGTGCAGGAGAGCATGGCACATTCTAGCAACTGCAAGTAATTCAGCATGATGCAGTGTGGGAGGAAAGTTGGCTTGTTTTTCCTGAGACTGTCTTGAACTCATTTCAGTATTACCGTGGGCAAACTTTTAGGGAGAGGAAAGAACTGGCCCCCGAGGAGGCAGGAGATGAGCTCCAGCCAGCAGTGGAAGGATTGTAGATGTGTACGGTATACCTAGCTGAGGCCAGATTTCACGAGGCGCTTTGTACTGAGAAAGGAAAGGCCTTGCATTTAAATGGGCAAATGGAACTCCATGTTCATGTACATTTTCACTGAAGGTAAATATGAAGGGCTGAGCTTTCGCTTAGTGAGCTAATAATTTTGCAAATTCAGGTGAACACACCTGTATTTTTGTTGCATTTTGAATTTTTTTTTTTTTTTTTTTTTGAGACAGAGTCTGGTTTTGTTGCCCGGGCTAGAGTGCCGTGGCGTCGGCCTACCTCACAGCAACCTCAAACTCCTGGGCTCAAGGGATCCTCCTGCCTCAGCCTCCCGAGTAGCTGGGACTACAGGCATGAGCCACCATGTCCAGCTAATTTTTTCCTGTATATTTTTATTTGTCTGGCTAATTTCTTTTTATTTTTTAGTAGAGACGGGGTCTCGCTCTTGCTCAGGCTGGTCTCGAACTCCTGACCTTTAGTGATTCTCCCGCCTCAGTCTCCCAGAGTGCTAGGATTACAGGCGTGAGCCACCGCGCCTGGCCATGGATTTTGAATTTTAAGAAATCATTTCAGAGTGTGTAGTTTGATTATGGAAGGCACTCTGTGTGTGGGTCTCTTAGAGGATGTTAAGTGATTTTTAGATTGCTTTTGTCCTTTTGTACATTGGATTGACAGGATTGCCCCCGCGATGTTACGCCAGGCGTCCTATGGCACCATCAAGATAGGCACTTACCAGAGCCTGAAGCGATTATTCGTTGAACGCCCGGAAGGTGAGTGGGGAATCTGTTTTCCACTGTGGATGGGGGTGGGTTGTTTGTCTTTTTGTTCAAGTGGTTTTAGGACAGATTTTCTTCAGTGTTTGTGACTTCACTACTGCTAAGGAGAACTCTGGATGGATATAAGGTCTAAATGAATTGTGCTTAAAGCAAGTCAGTTATCAGCTGAACCGAAGGGAGTAACAATGAAAAGGAACCATCTCTACAAACACTTTAATTAGTGGTTGCAGCTCCAAAATGCCTAGACTAGAGGATATGTTGTTACCATTCTATCCAACTTAAAATTTTCTAAAATCATATGAGTTATCAACTATTTTTCAGGAAAGCAGTGAATAGATTTCTTAGTATTAAGAACTTGGAGTTCTTATAGTAAAAATATGGTATAATTAAAAAAGAAAAAAAAGAAATAAAAGAAGAACTTGGAGTTCTGATACTTTGGTTGGTTCTGTGACTTTGTTTTGATCCATGGAACTATCTCTTTTTTACAATGGGTGGGCACCTATCGCTGTTTTGTGAGAACAAGAGCTAACATGCTTTGGAAATACTTCAGTATATTTCAAACTAAACTCAGAGGATGTTTAAAAATTTTTCTATGCCAAATCTATCTCCATGTTATCTCATAAGAATGTATCTTTTGTATTCCCCTAAGGGACACATCTCATCTTAATTATGCTGGTCTGCATTCACACACAAAAGTGAATTGGTAGATCACTTGGCGGGATGATTCACATTCCTTTTTAGATAAGAAATTTTGCTAAGCAAAGTAAAATCTCTTAGCCAGTAAAATTCCCTGTCCTTTTAGAATTACTTGATGCATGAAGCATAAATTTATCTTAAGACGAGCAAGTATTGTGTAAATGAGTTATACCTATATTTGAGTTACTCACAGGAAGAACTTGGTATATATGAAAAGTTAAATAATAATATGTCATTGTTTACAGATGAAACCTTACCCATAAATGTCATATGTGGAATTCTCTCTGGAGTCATATCCTCAACCATTGCTAATCCAACTGATGTTTTGAAAGTAAGTTGTGCTATCTATATCTTATAGGCACATTCCACATTTTCTTATTGAGAAGAGCATTCAGGTAATGAAAATCTGTGAATATACCATATGCTCTGTATACATGAATCTGTTTATAACATAAACGCAGTGAATAATTTAACTTTAAAATATCCACTAGGTGGATTTCCCACTGATACAGATGAGCTCAAAAGTAGAGCTTATTTTGGAGACAAAGATTTTGGCATTTGAGCAGAAAAAAAAATTTAGGCGTGGATGCATTTGAATTTCTTTTTTTGTTCAAAATATTCCTTGTTTCATTGGTTCATTAAGTATAGATGGGCTGTAAGTTTTACATAAATCTAGGTTGCTTATTAATTACTATTTCTGAATGTATCTTCTTATGCATTAATTTTATTTCAGGAAATACAAATGAAAATATTTGCTTATCACAGTGAGATATAACACATTAGATGACCTGTTGAGAATACTAAGGATACAGCCTCCCTAAATCCTTTTTGGAATAAGACAAGGGAATAACTAATTAAATAAAATAAAAATCAGACATGAGTTACTCTTTGAACCCTCTCAGAGTATTCATCTCCTACCTTCCCCCTCTTCTCCCCTCCCCATTATTTAACTAGTATTCTATGCTTCTATCTTGTACCAGTTGGTGTACTATGTGCTTAGAATCAAAAAATGAGTAAGACAAAGGACCCTTCGCTCAGAGAGCCTTCTGTCTAATAGGGGATTCTGACAAGCATAAAAATTATATGCAGTGTGTTGGGTACACTATAGATATGCATGCACTATAGGAAAGGTTCAGCATGTGCGATGAATAAATACAAGGTACTTTTGCCATAAGTTTACCCTTTGTTGGGGTAAGAGAGCTAGAGAAAAATATCCATACTCTATTAATTTCTTAAACATATTTCAGGGCTTATGGGAAGGCAGTTCCTATATCTTGGTTTATTTTCCCATGTTACTGTAGCAATAACAGTTTCCTTTAGAAGTTAATAGTAATATATTTGCTACCTAAGCAAAAATAAGGTACTAATTTTTTAATGAGAAATCCTTTTTCCTTCTTAAAAATGCAAAGAGCTACATCAAATGTTTTATTTGTGTTAGAATCACGGTCATGCGGATTTCACTAGTAAGTTCAAGTGTAACAGAGTGTAACGGGTGTCATGTGGCCAGCTCGTGGCCAGCTCGTCTGCATACCTTTTGGTTAAGCTGATTGGAAATAGAGGCTTGGAGCAACTAATTTAAGAATCATGCCTGCCCATGCTTAGTGCTGCCAAGTACGCTTGGTAACTCTTATTCATTATATTAAATCTTTGAAATTACCATCATTTTCTCTCTTTGCTACATATTAACCTATAGGGAAATATGCTATTTTCTGTCCTTCTGGAAAGACTTTTTGAAAAAGTTAATTTCTTTTTGGACACTAACTACTACGTGCAGGACTCTTGGGACTCTACTAGATGCTTTTTTGGATATTTCGGAGTTCCTAAGAACCGATCCTTATACATTTTTAGTGTACTGAGGACATTTTAAAGTAGCATCATACTATTATTTGTATTATAATTTTTTTCTGTTAATGGTTATTAAGCAAGGGACTGAATGATTTTCAGAGGTGTACATTGGCAGGAGATGTACTAGTTTCCTTCTCACGTTGGTCTTTAAAATAATCTCTAGATCCGGATGCAAGCACAAAGCAACACCATTCAAGGAGGCATGATAGGCAACTTCATTAACATTTACCAGCAGGAGGGAACAAGAGGACTGTGGAAGGTAAGCTTGAAGAATGGATCCAACTGGCTCATTTGGTTCTTTTTTCCTTTTTTGAATTTACTTTTCCTGTTTCCATCACTTTATTTTAATCCAGGTGGCATAATGGAGTAAGGAAAGAAGAGTAGCATCTTCTGCCCGTCAAAATATCTTCTTCTTTAATTTCTCTATCTGTAAAATGGGAATATAAGGAATATGTCATGATTTTAAAGTACTTTTTGAATAATTTATATATAAAAAGTTCTGTGACGTTTAAGTTTGAGCATTTTTTTTGTTTGATTGCTTTTTCCCCCTGCCCTCCTAATTCTCATGGGGAACAGGTCTGTTGGGTGTTTTGATCTATATGGTTTCCTGGCTCTTAAGTGAAGTCCGTGTTACTAGGCAAGCGCTGGTGTGGAGTGCTAGTTCCTAGTATTCTAATGACTCATCAGTTCATAAAATCGACCCTAAAGATCATCCATATGATCCTTCAGCACGTACAAGGAAACCTGAAGCTCTGAGAGGTGACTTGTCCTGGCCGCGGTCTGGCCTGAGGTCATACAATTCGTGCCAGCATCAGAATTAGATTTCAGAGCTTTTGAGTTCTTTGCCCTTTGGCCTTTCCCTCTCTGTTACTCTACATTTCTAGCTACTGGCAGGAAAACATAAAAATTGGTTGTAGTTTGTGGAGTAGAACCTTTGCAAATTTGCAAGGCTGTTCTACAGAGGCATATCAGAATCATTTTACTTATTATTAATATTTTTATCCAGGGTGTATCCCTTACTGCTCAGAGGGCTGCTATTGTTGTTGGTGTGGAGCTACCGGTCTATGACTTCACCAAGAAGCATCTGATTCTCTCGGGCCTCATGGGAGACACTGTATATACTCACTTTCTGTATGTTTATGGATTTTTAAAAACTAATATTTTAGGTATGCATGAGCTCAGGGTGAAAATTTGGTACCAATTTATAGAAATTTTAAAGAAAGTTTATTATGAAAGTATTATTCTTATATTTGAAAAATTACAGTACAGAAGTGAAGCAGAACAGAGTGAAAGTCCTTATTGCTCTACTCAGGTAGCTGTTAACAGTCTGATATGTACCTTCCAGGCATTTTCTGTGTGTATACATGTATGTACTTTATTACACAAATAAGCTCGTGCTTTGCTTTCTCATATTTGCTTTTTAAAATTTAACAATATATTCCAAATATCTTTCCATGTCAGTACTTACAGACTTCATTTATTTTTAATAGCTGCAGATTATCACATTATATGGATATACCATAGTTTATTTAATCCATTGTTAGGCGATGTGTGGAGACTGTTCTGATTGTAACAACCAGGGGGAGTACTACTGGCATATAGTGGTTTGGGTAGAGGCTAGGGATGCAGCTAAACCATCTTAGAGTGCACAGGACACACCACTTCTACAACAAAGAATGATTTTGGCTAAAAATGTTAATAGTGCTGAGGCCGGGCGCAGTGGCTCACACCTGTAATCCTAGCTCTCTGGGAGGCCAAGGCAGGCGGATTGTTTAAGCTCAGGAGTTCGAAACCAGCCTGAGCAACAGCGAGACCCCGTCTCTACTAAAATTAGAAAGAAATTAATTGGACAACTAAAAATATAGAGAAAAAATTAGCCAGGCATGGTGGCACATGCCTGTAGTCCCAGCTACTCGGGAGGCTGAGGCAGTAGGATCGCTTGAGCCCAGGAGTTTGAGGTTGCTGTGAGCTAGGATGATGCCACGGCACTCTAGCCCGGGCAACAGAGTGAGACTCTGTCTCAAAAAAAAAAAAAAAGTTAATAATGCTGAGATTGAGAAACCTTGCTCTGAGTTAACTAATATCACCTGAGGTCTGTGGTAGTCTCGTGAGACTGAAAGTATAATAGAACCTAGGGCCCCTAGTGGGCATTATAGAAAGAAGATGTCTTTCTTTCTTTCTTCCTTTCTTCCTTTCTTTCCTTCTCTTTCTTTCTTTCTTTTTTTTTAGACAGAGTCTCACTCTGTCACCTGGGTGGAGTGCAGTAGCGTCATTGTAGCTCACTGCAACCTCCAACTCCTGGGCTCAAGTGATCCTCCTGCCTCAGCCTCCTTCCTGAGTAGCTGGAACTATAGGCACATGCCACAATGCCTGGCTAATTTCTTTCTATTTTTAATAGAGACAGGGTCTCACTCTTGCTCAGGTTGGTTTTGAACTCCTGAGCTCAAGCAGTCCTTCCGCCCCAGCCTCCTAAAGTGCTAGGATCATAGGCATGAGCCACCACGCCCAGCCAGATCTTTTTCTTTGATCTCAAGGAAACATATGATTATGATATGGCTAGAATTATTCTGATGCCTACTTTTAGTTAAATAGATGGAGTAGATCATCTTTGGAGGATGTTCCTTTATGTTATATGATTCTCTGACATTCCAGAACCCCAAAGGTATTCTTAGTTGTGGCTGGTATTTATAAGCCAGTGTAATCAGTGCTGATGTTTGCCAGCTCTCCAGATATGGACCTTATTCTTGACACATTTCATGTTGTTACATGCTGCTTTAACATAGTTTTAGGAGGAGGGTGTTTTCTGCCTTTGATAGTGGTTGTTATAGCTCAGTGGTGATTAACTTTTTGTTTTTTTCCAATGATACCTTTTACATAGCTCAAGCTTTACCTGTGGTCTGGCCGGGGCCCTGGCCTCAAACCCTGTTGATGTTGTGAGAACACGTATGATGAATCAGAGAGACCTTCGAGACGGCAGGTGCTCTGGCTACACAGGTACCCTGGATTGCTTGTTACAGGTGAGAATGAATGTCGGTGCAGGGTTGTGAATTACATATTTTTTTTACTGAAGTCTGTAGTAACTAAATTATGAGAGCTATTAAAACTAAGATGAGTGATGCTCTAAACTCCTAAGATGTACATATGGTACAGGTTAAATTTTATAAATACAATATCTAGATGAATATTTAGAAACGAAAGTTCATTTTCTTTATAGCTCCGCTCTGCTGCGAAGGGTGAGAAAATAATACCATTTCCTGTGATCATAACAGAATTGTGTCTCCTTCAAAGATATACATTCTTCCTATTGAGTCGAACTAGAATGAATATCCCTCAATCAGACATCTCTTTCAAAGGAATGCATCAATCTTACTATAATTCTCAGCTTAAATAATTAGACTTACTGTTTATGAGTGAATGAAAGTTTTCAACTGTCTCCGCTACTAGATTGCCAGGAGCCCAAGATTAGGGATCACTTTTTGTGGTTCCTGTTCTTCAGCATGATGCCAGCGCATTTTGCACTTCTAGTGCTGCCTTCATGAACCAAATATACTTATCATATTTATCCACCCAGCAACTTAGGAAATAATGGTGCTCCGAATGACATATTTATCACATTGCTTTTTTTCTTACCTATTTAGGAGCCCAAACAGCATGGAAACAAAAGACCCTAATTGGAATTAAATCTAATTTCTTATTCATTCAACTCCTGTTCATCTGCTTTGTGTGGGTATATTCAGCCCTTTGTGTGCAGTTCTTTGGCATGGAGCCTTAGTCTTCCCCCTATGCAGAAGCTTTTAAAGAACAAAGACAGAGGGCAAAGATTTCTTAAGATGGTCATCCCAAAGAGGATTTTATTTTTAAGAAAAATAGATCAGTCTGGCCACTGATTATTAATGTATTTGACATAATTAGAAAGTTGGAAGTTGACTCCTTTTTTTCCTTCCTTTTAACAGACATGGAAGAATGAAGGGTTTTTTGCTCTATATAAAGGGTTTTGGCCAAATTGGTTGAGACTTGGTCCTTGGAATATCATTGTATCCTTTTCTGTTGCAGTAGATCTGAAAAAAGATGTAGCTAAAGAATACTGTTTGTATAAACTATCGTGCTATTAATTATAATTTAGAAGTAGGTTCTTATTCTTCTGAGTTCCTCTGATTCTAAGAAATAACTACTCAGTTTCTGTTTTAGGAAATGTAGAGTCTCTGTGCTAGACCCTGTAGATGTTAGTTTTTTTTTTTTTTTTTTAACTAATATGGATCTTAGTTTAATGATGGTGTTATTGAAAGGTAATGATACCAATACAAATTTTGTCAGGCTATGTTCTAGAAGCCGAGGGTATTTATGATTTTAGAGAAGGAGAAGGACTGACTTTATAGCCCCACCCAACCTTGGGAAGGATGCTTATTTTAGGAAGTACCTGAAGATAAATAGGAATTAGCTCCAGAATCACTGGGCTAATCAGCACTTTCCCTGCATGCCAGAGTGGGAGGCAAGGAAGGAGCAGCAGTTCATTGATGGGAATGGGCAGAATTACGAAGTCAGAGTGTTGGTTTTCGCCATCCTCTTGTTACTGTTTATCTGCTCCTCCCTCCCAAGGAAGGCTGCCTGGTGAAAACCGTTGAGGAGTGCCGCCAGGGCTAGCTAACTGTCTCTCTTTCTCATGCCGAAGTTTACTGTCTGGAAAGTCTTCGCATCATAGCAAAGTCACAAAAGCTCATCAGTGTGGGTGTCATCTCCAAAGAGTTTGATGCTAAGGCATTTATATGTCTCAGCTGCGATCTTTCTGTTCCAAGCTGACCTTGGGAATGTTTACAGGGAGATATTTTGAGGTGGTTAAGAATGAAGCCTGTCTTATTTAAAATCGTGTCCACGGCATGGGTCTGTCTGGACATACTTGTTAGTAGGTGTGCTATTTATAAGTCTGTTTTTATGCATTGGAGTTGTCAAGTTGGCACTTTCTTAACCCCTAACTACAGTTCTTTGTGACATATGAACAGTTGAAGAAACTGGATTTGTGACAAGACAAGGCTGCATGAGACATCCCTCTGAAAATGCTAACTTCTGAAACAGTAAAGCTTCCTGTGTTTCACTCTGCTTCTCACTGCTTGGCTCGTCACAGATTCCGGGGTGTGAGCAACACATGAAGACTGAGTTAGTGCAGATTGCTGTGTGTTGGCATTGGATGCTCTTCATCAAACATTTAATGGCGTAAACTGTAACATCCAAACTCTAGTCCATTGAAGCGCCCTTCGACATCAAAGATAATATAGGATAATATATGAAATGCACGTTACGTTTCTTGCTAAAGAAAACTTGCAAGAAAATCTGAAGCTATGTGCTGTTTTCTCCAGGGAGAATAGCCCTGATATATCCCAGTTCGTAGCTGAGAATATCAGACTGCTCTAAAGAAGCTCATCAGAACCATGGAATGGAGTCTCCAAGAGGGTATTATTGTTGCTGAACTTCTGGGAACATTTGCTTCTTGTCAGTGGAAGAAATACCTTGGGTGGAAACCTGTACTTTTCAACCCCAGGTATAAACAGTGCAGGAAATAGATCCTTGGAATATTGCACTGCTTTATAATTTCCTATTTTGGCAGGATCTTTCACTTATAATAAGTGATTGTAAGTCTTTGAAGACTTGACCTTTGTGAGGAATTGTTACACTGTATCAATATCTAAATTCATGGTGATGTTACGTGTTGGCTTTGAGGGTTGTAAGGTCTGTACTGGTGGGAAGTATTTTCAAACAGCTTGGATTCTGACTTAGGTAATATTAGTTATTAGCTCTATGCTTTTTGTTCTTTGGGTTTTTTTTTTTTTTTTTTTTTTTGGTTTTTGCTCTGGTTTTGCTCTGTTGATCAGGCTAGGGTACAATGG